AAATGTGACAATGTGGCAGGTATGACGTGACACTTTAAAAAAAATAAAAATTCTTTAGTGTACTTTTTTTAAACGTGACAACGTGACAAATATAATGTGACACTTTAAAAAAAAATTAAATACTCCTTAGTGTATTTTTTCCAAACGTAACATATGACACTTCAACGTGGCGGGTATGATGTGATATTTTAAAAAAATTAAAACTCTTTAGTGTACTTTTTCAAATGTGACACTCTAATGTGGCGGGTATGATGTGATATTAAAAAAACTCTTTAGTTTACTTTTATAAATGTGACACTCAAATGTGGCGGGTAAATGAGTCATTTCAAATTCAAAAGGACTAAATGGATCACGAGCAAAAATATGAGACTATGTGGATTACAAGTCCAAAATATGGGACTTATTAACCAATCTCCCTAAAAAATAACATATTGTAATTGCGAAAAAAAGAGAAAAAAATTACACTGTAAAAATAATTTGTATATTAAAAATATCTAAAACAAATATAATTTTTTATTAAAAAATAACAGATTGCAATTGCGAAAAAAAAAGAGAATTTTTTTTTTTTCACTGTGCATTTCATTAATGATGCTAACAAAATGTGTCAAGTATTTGTGTAAAGGCTTGACAGTGTCAACTTTCAAATTATCAAGTGAATATAGATGAAACCAAAGAACTCAATTTTAATGGCTAATAAATATTAAAAATCCGACCATTGAAACCTAATAACTATTAATTAATATAATTCAACAATTGAAAGGTCTCAAATCACATCTCTTTATCTTCTCAAATGTTTCATTTTTTTAGTTCATATGCATTCATTCTAATATTGATAGAGAATTGGACATGTGGGAGAGTGAGAGACATTAAAATTATATATTGAGTTATGTAATTATTGTGATAAAAAATAAGGGTTGTCTTCCTCTTCTATGACGATTTATCTGGTTATAGCTCCAATTAAAATGTCATGTGTTCTTTTACATCATCATTGAACGTTACTTTCATTTTTTTAGATCATTTGTCTCACAGTTATTTATGTTTTGTGTTATGAAATTTATTATATCTGTGCTTGCTAAAACTATTAGATGGACCTAATGCAAGAAGTACAAATTATTTCAATGTTTGTAGGATTAGAAGTACAAAAAACATACATAAAAAGTATATGAAAAGATAAGATTTTACAAAATTTGTTTGTGAGTCTCACTTCTTGAAAATCCTATAAATCATTTTTTTTTTTTGGTATTATATTTTATATGTAGTTTATGTACTTTTTTTTATATAGTTTCCTTTATTTTCTTTAAAAGTTTATATTTAAAAATTAATTAATAAATAAATAAATCATTTTCTATTTCAAATAATTTCATTTTTGTTTTTATTTTTTTTTCTTAAAGTAATTTTAGTTTTGGACAATTGCTTACTTTTTTCTATATAATGTAATTTTGTGCATTTTAAGTGTATGATATTTTCACTAATACACTCGAAGATACATTATGAAAGAAGTATCATGCGAAAATCAAGTAAAAAAAAGAAAAATAAATAAAATAATATGATGAATGTGGAGTAAACATCAAAAATCAAAACTTTTAAAGTAAGCAAGCAAACAAACAAGCAAGTAGAATAAAATGTTTAACAATAGACATTTGAAAATTTGTAATAAAATTTTATAATTTTCATTTGTTCTAAGAAAATTCTATTTGGTGCTAGCTAAATAAAATGCTTTTAAAATAGTGTTTTTTTTTTAATTTAAAATTTTTAATTTGAAATTAAAACTATAGTAAATTTATGTAAGCAAAATTGATAACCACATTTTTTCACTTAATGCTTAATATTTATATTGACTACCTTTTTTATGTTAATTTTTTTAAGTAAAGAAACAAAATTATTGTCTTACTATACACCCTGCTCCTGTGCCTATGCTCACCCTAATAAAGAAACAAAATTATTGTCTCACTATACACTAATGAAAAAACATCATATGCGCTATATACAAGAAAGATTCATGAATGCCAATCTAAAGTCTTCTCCAATGCACCATCTAAAAAAAAGAGTCTTGTTAAATGTCTAGTGTGGAAGGAAAGGATATTCCTACAAATGGATTTCAAAGGTTTTGTTTTCCACCCTCTTCCCCCGAAAGTTCCCATAAAGAAAAAAAAGAGAAGTAAAAACAAAAAAGAGAGAATAATATGGGATTGTAAATTGTGGGGGTCAAAACTTATCAATTCAAAAAGTATAACCTTTAAACCAACCAAAAAAAAAGGGGAGAATCCTTGTGAACCAAGCAAGTCACCAAACGACCAAACAAAACCATCGTCCCCACTGTATATAATCAATGGGATTGGCTTCCCTCCGGTCCGTGATCGGATTGGAGGATGCTGTTGGTTTAATAGGAACTCACCACAGGTCTCATTTTGATAATTCGTACTATTCAATGTGTAGAATTCATCGATTACTATATGCCTGTAAAAAATCATATTGATCAGATATCAATAACTATTTTATCGGATTAGATTTCTATCAACTGTTTATTTTTTTACTGTCTATTTTTTTTATACAAAATTGATTTGATCACATTGTTATCGATATCCGATTAACGTGATTTTTTACAGGCATATAGTACTTGACGAGTTTTACACAATGAACAGTTCAAATTATCAAAACGAGACCCGTGATAGACCTCTACGAATCTAATAATACTCTCCAGTCTGATCACGAACAGGAGAGAAACCAAACCCATAATGAATCACCCATATCTATAACGACTTAAAGATGATTCGCGAAGATAGCAAAAGTCATTCTATACTCTTTTATTTTGCTTTTAATTTTAAGTTCAATTATCACTTTCTTTGCAAGAAATAATTAGTTGATTGACGATGAAGGAAGAAGTCTATTAAAAGAAAAATTTATTTGAAAGATAATCTTAACAATTATATCCAATCACAAACTACACTAATTTTTATTTATTTATTTATTTTTATTTTTAATGAGGATTTACCCGTCATAGATTTGCACAGAGAAACAAAATGAATTTCTCGAAGAGTAATTAGAATCAATTTAGTGTTGAGCTTGACACCCAAAAATTATATCAAAAACACTTGTATTATATTAGAAATAAAGGTCAAGTTAATAATAGTTTTAAAGTTGTTAATAAGGATCACTAAGTGTCAACAAATTTATAATTTCAATACACTCTTCTATATATCTCGAACACATTCATTTTTATACACGTTCTAGACACTTTTTCAATACTAATAATAGTCTTAAAGATTATTTTTAACATTTTCCTATAAATAAAGCACTCATACAAAAACTCTCACAATATGACATGTACTCAAACAACACATAAAAGACAAGATCACACATACATGACACAATTTCTTATACTACACTAACACTTAAAGTAAATATTCACCCAAAAAAACACTTTAAGTAAATCACTTTCACTCACTTGTCACTTTGGTGGAAAATCACACAAACCTTACATCACACATTTAACTCCTACTATAAGTACACATATTGAAGGCCCCCTTCGTATTTATACTGCTCCTTGCCGACGTAGTTAAGTCGGTTAAGTATCATCTTCATCAATCTAGAAAGCTTCACTATTGGCAGTGGAAGGAAGAATCATCAAAATATATTTATATGTATATTTATTGTCTAGATAAAGAAATTTCTAGAGAGAATAAAAAAATCTAGATAAAGAAAGGAGGATAAAATTTTGGATACAGAAGATTCTAAAGAGAGAGATCAACATTTAGTCACAGCAATTAAGACCAATTCAGTCATGTATTCTTGTTACTATTGAACATTTTCCATTATTCCTTTTAATTGTCTCAAGCTGTCGCCCGTAAGTGGTAGGATAGTGTGGGTTGTACCGCTCAGATTGCGGCCAATATTTTCTAACATAAGGTCAGGCTTAGAGCGTGTGAAACTCATCATCGCCTCATAATCTCAAAAGGTTGACCGAGTGATAAAGACTTAATGATAAGATTCAAATTCTCATCACCTCACAATCTCAAAAGATTGACCGAGTAATAAAGACTCAATGATAAGATTCAAATTCTCATCACTTCAAGGGATCACCATAAATTTTGCTCAGTCGTTAACTTCAAGATCTCAAAATTAGTTAAGATACACATAAGTTAGTTTGGACACCCAGTTATCAAAAACTCATCACTACCTCATAAGGGCTTTGAGACCATAACATGTTACATGAAAGTGCCGCTTTCTCTAGGGTGTTGTCACACAGATGCCGCCAAAAGCAACCTGCCATCTACCGATAGGTGAGAATGGATTGCTATTGGCTGCTTCGCCTATTTATTCTATTATGGTTGGAGGCTGGAGACATCAGAGGAAGACCATCTTCTCCCACTTGTTGAAGAAAGAATTCAAAATTTTGATGTCTATATATGTAAACAGAGGATGCTCAACATGAGTGCAAATGAGAAACAAGCTCTAAACCAAGCCACCTGCAACTTCAATGAATCCATGGGAGTCTCCTTAAAATTTAAGTCCGAGCGCTTCTGTGTTTCAAGGGTCTGTTTATTTTGGAAGATGGAGGCAGAAATGAGATCGAGATAGAGATAGCATCTACTGATATGGAGAGGGGATTTATAAGCCTTATGAGCGTTAGATGTTGAGACTGAAATGGAGACCAAAGACTTGGTATTAGAAAATTAATCCTCTAACTTAGCTTTTTATTTATTTATTTATTTATTTTTTTACATGTTGAGCTTTTTTTTTTTGAACATTAATGTTTAATATTTTTGTATTTTTTGATAAATAAAAATCATAATTTTATTTGCTTTATTATTTTATATTTCTTTTATATAAAAATAATTTAACAATCTCTGTACTAACAACTATCATCAAAATAAACACAATTTTACTTAATTCCCTCAATATCAATCCCTTTACTAATAATGCCCTCACTATCAATTCTCTTCATTCTACTTCTAATAAAAACAAACGAATCCTAACTTCAACCAAAAACGGGGGGAAGAGAGGAAAAAATAGAACTCAGAGAAGTATTTTTGTTTTAGGCTGCACAACATGTATGAGACATGAAGGGCCTCTGAAGTGTTGATCCAGTGCATATGAAACCAGTTAACCAGTCAATGGCAATATCAACCTCTAAAGTACCCGAGAAACAACCAAACATAGTATATATAGTCAGATGAAACAACTATGCATGCCTCTCTACAATATTTCATAAACATATCCTTGTTATTTTCTGAGTAAGCATTTGCAGAAGCCTTCCTTTTAATTAATCACGGCTTTCAAGAGAACTCTGGAATAACCAGCTAGCCCCTTCTAGTTACAATGTGGATCCTTCAAATCAAATCTGCAATAATAGGAAACAAACGTTTCAGATTAAAGTCCCGTTCCAAAAGCCAACAAAAAGTGAAGAAAAGCTTTTACTAACTACACAAGTAACAAACTATCAGATATAAAAATAGAATAATAACAAGGTGATAAAGGGAATATTCTCTCGCGCACACATGCAGTACAGAATTAATAAATGTCAAGGGAACTTAAAACAAAATGGACCCAAGAAGGGCATGGAACCGAAGTTCTACAACTGCAAGAAAACCCTAGGAGAAGTGACCACCAAAAAACATGCTGGAGAATTGCCTATATGTCATTAAGGGCTTCTTTCGTTCTCTTCCCTTAATAAGCACAACAGCTCTATCAAAAGACACAAGCATTTCAAACATTGAAGTTTGTAGCATTAAGTGACAAAATTCCAAGTTCTAGTATTTTTAGAGAGATTTTGTTGCAGTGGCAAATTAGGCGGCAGGGCATACATCAGTCCTCCTATTGAGAAGAGCTTCTAAATAAACCTACCAAATTTCTCTCTACACCCACATAGACAAGTATTTCTCTTTAAAGTATAAGCTTTACAATGCATGCAGTGGGTATAGTACACAGAGAAATCATGAGAGTATTTAGAAGCTCCCCCTGTTAAGGCACACCAAATATGACATCGGATAGGATAAGCTTTATCCCATGCTTAGTCCAATACATATCATAGTATGGGGGTGAGTCTGGTACAATGTAATCTGGGGCCTTATCCCTATACCAACATATCCCCACCTAATCCCATCCTGCAAACAAACACAGTCTAAAGCTGAAAAATTAAGCATGTTCTTCCTTTTTATCTACAAATCCCACACCCTCTTTCTTGTGTTGATTAAAACCCCAAATCACGAACTTCACATAATGCTTTCCCACCAGAAAACCACTCATAATGTTGTCTTTGAGTATTCAGAGTGATCCTACATCAATCTAAATACGTATCTGTCTCCAAAATTCAAGAACAATACAAGTTATACAACTGACATTTCAAGACAGTTGGATTACCTGGTTCAGTCATAAACAAAACAAATGCCTTTGTATTTATCAGGATGAACATCCCATTTGTTCTCCAAGCCGCTATTCACACTTTCCCCCTCTTCTTGTGTTATTCCTCTTTTTTTTTTTGGTATTTTTGTTTAACATCCATCATGGTCGAGAATCTTATGCTATTTCTATCATCAGTGGGAAAAACCAGAAACATAAGCAATTCCCCAAAACTAAGACACCAATACAGATATCTGCCTGCCTATCACTGGCAGGTGGCCTGACCAAAATTTTAGCTGCATTTCCAATTGGAGAAATCAAGACCAGGCAAGATTCCAATTAAAAGCTGTGCACGAGTAGGGCAAGAGACAAACCAATTGGGTAGGATAAGGGTTTTTAAGCTAACTGCCTAAAGCATGCAATTAACGTAAATTGAAGCACAAAAGATTGAGATGGCAACAAAGGCAATACTAAAAACAGAAAAACATACCCCACAAAGTTGCCTCCAGGTCAATCTACCTGAAGAGCCTCGGCACTGATCTTTTTGGTAGCTTGCCTTCAAGTTTTAGTCTTCTGTATGCTTCCCTAATGTGGCAGGGCCTGATTGGCCCACTTTCTTTTCTCTCGGCCATGACAATTCTGGCTGCAAACACGATACAAAGAAGGGTGAACCATTCAAAATTTAGACGAATACTTCCAGCTAGAGTAAGCCACTTTGCTTTTTTGGTTTCAGACTTTCCATAATATAAAATAAACATGAATGTAAAATTTAAAACATTCAACATTGTTTGCGTACCTGTTTCAACAAGCTCACCAATAAACATTTTTGCTATCCCCGACACCACAATTGTCATTGGTACAGAAATTTTTGCGCTTCCAGTAATGCTTGCTAACAACTGCATTTACATTGTAAATGGAAGCAATAGAAGCAGCAGTTAATGCAGCAGTAAAATACCTTAGAAGTTAATAATGCAAAAATGATTCAACTCATACAAGCTGCATATACAAGATTCATAGCTATCAGCTAATGAACAGGCCAAAATTATTATTATTTTTTGGGATAAATTACAAATACACTCTCTGAGGTTTGATTAAAATACAAATTGCCTCTTGTGGTTTTGAAAATTACATTCCACTCCTGAGGTTTCTAATTTCATAACAAATCGTTCTTTTATTAATAAATCGTCAAGTAAATTAACAGTTTTTAATGATGTTAGAAACATGTTTTAATTAATAATTTAAGTAATTTTATTATTATATAAGAGAGCAACTATGAATTTCATTTTTTTTAGTTAATTCTGTTAAATAAAAAATTCTAATAAGGGGGTATTTGCAATTTTCCAAATCACAAGGGGCAATCTATACTTTAAGCAAACTTTAGGAGGTGTATTTGTAATTTACCCTTATTTGGGCATCCACTTGAAACATATATATTAGCCAAATAAAGAAATGGCAAAAATATGGGCCCCCTTTGAACCACACACACAAGACGGAAACTAGATTCATTGCTACAAGAATGCAATAAAGAATCACTTCAAAGAAGAAAAGCCACAGCAACCCAAAGAAGAAACATACTCTTTTCATATTTGATTTCTGAAATCCTGATCGTCGGAATGATTCATACCTGCTCATTTGTTCCTCTGTGAACTGTGATAAAATAGACCTGAAAGAGCAACAGAGACATGTGAATGTTACAAGGGATGAAGTAAGTTGTGCATTTTCATCACACTACAGAATGGAAAAGAACTACTGAATGCTGTTTCAACAGCCCATGCACATGAAGATGATGCAAAATAGTGTGGTATTAGATATGCCTTCAAAGAGAGTACGAACACAAACATGTGACATGGATGCAATAAGACGCAGCCAAGCTGATGCAACATAATATATTAATATAGCTTAATGCATGTATTACATAAGAAACTTCTATAATATTATGTTTGAGCTAATGGGCTTGTTCGTGCTTCATTGCTGAGTAGTTGCACTTATAATTACAAAACATAGGAGATGAAGGTCTAGAATATCATGCATGTAATGATGTAATGCATAGTCCTACTAGTTACTTTATTACTAATTTTTTTTTTTTTCTTTTCCCATATTAGAATCTCCCATTGTGTTATTTGTATTAGTCTTGTATACAATATGTTTTTCCTTTTAAAAATGTTTTCAGACAAATTTTTGGGTCAAATAATTCACTTACTAAAAGATTCACCACATAAATCATTGGGAGAGTTTAAGAAGTGTTCTTGAAATGTCTAAATTTATGAAATTTCATTATTATATAAGGACATGTTCAAGAAGTTTCAATGATCCTTGATAATCAACTAAATTCAATATTACAACTACAAACACATACCATGCTTAGTGATTGTGCCCCATTTAAATCAATATGTAGGTGGGAACATTGTTGTAAACGTCATAGTTAGAGTAGTTACAGTGCCACTATCTTTCTTCATTAATGAGTATTCATAAAAATTCATAAGGAAAATGCCACAAACCATTTGGATTGAGAGGTTTGGTGTGAAACGAAAATACATGGACAGAAAAAAAAAAAAAAAAAAACTCTTTAAAATCATATTTTGTTTCTCACAGAAATTGGAGAGATTCAGTAAGGGCATCTCCAATCCTTGACTTAAATCTAAATCAAACTTAAATTTGGGTAAAAATCACTCAAAACACCCTCCACTTCTTGACCCAAACTTATATCAAATATAGTTTTACTCAGATATTTACCCAAATCAAGGGAGACTCAAATGTTTACCCAAAATTTTCAAAACTATTTTGTGGCTCTCAAATTTACGACTTTTCCATTAGTGAAGCTTTCACTCAAATTTATGCTTTAATTTGAGTTAATCCATTGGAGTGGTTCATATCAAATAAAACTTACAACATCTCCAATCCTTGATCTTTTCTTTTCTTTTATCAAATTTAAATTTAATGAAAAAATACTCAAAAATCATCTCCAATCCTTTCATCAAATGTTCATCAAATGAAGGGAGAGTAATTTTTTCCACCAAATTGATAATTCATAAATCCTTCATCAAATTTGAATTTGATGAAAATTTAAAAAGATGAAGCATTGTAGATGATTTTTTTTCCCCATCAAATTTGATGAGAAAGATAAATTTGGGATAAGAGGAAATTTTTTAAAAAGATTATGATGAGCATTTGATGAAAGGTTTGGAGTAGTTCATATCAAATAAAACTTTTTACTTAAATTTGGAATCAAATTAGACGAAAAAATTGGCGAGATGGTCTAAATACAAAAAATTGAAAATAAAATGACACATATTTCCTCTTTTAATTAGTTCACCCAAACACATTAATGAAAACCCATATTCAAAGAGAGTGGGAATCATGGAAATTGAATAATGAGAATAACAACATCAACATGTACAACACTAACAACAATAGTGACAATCAATATCAATAGTCCCTCATATCTACACTTTTAATTGGCTTAATTTTGACCAGCATTTTAAATTTTGTGTCCACTTGATAAAATCGTTACTTTTTGACAGAAAAAATACTCTATTAGTTGAGATTAAGTCATTAAATTGATCAAATTTATAATTTTACCTTTTTAAGGGTGACACATACCGCGTATGTATGTATTTATCATACAAAATGCTAACAATTGAAAATAAATTCAAGGTCAAAATCGAGCCAATTATGAGAGGAAATGAGGAGGAAAACATACTGCATTTTGGCTTTTTTATGAGGGTCAGCGGTGGAAGATAATTTGCCAAGCTCAATATCCATGTTCTCTTCCTCTTCTTCATCGTCTTCTTCTTTCATCTTTCCAGTCACTGACGGACCAGCATGAGCTCTGTATTTCGATGGCTTCGTATTTACAGAAGGAGTATTGGTGTTTTCGACAATGTCAACAACATCTTCTTTGTCATTAGAATCAATTGCAAGCTGTTCTTCTTCAGCTGCAGATTCATGGGCGTGAATTTGAGTTTGAGTTTCGATCCCGTCTGGGGGAAGAGGTGAATCGGGTGGTGATTCCTCATCTAGTTCCTCAAATGCTACTTCAAATGGATCTTTAGATTGCTTCATACTCCTCTCTCTCTCTCTCTCTCTCCGATCAAAACTGAGAATTGTTCAAATTATTGTTTGCAAGAATGGAGCCCTAACTCTGTTAAAAACAAGAATGGAACAAACCATTTGGATTGGGTGTTTGGAGAAAAAAAGAGAGGGTAAATTACATTGACACCTCTGATATTTATGTTTATTTCAGTTCTCTTATCTTTTGGAAATTATATTTGCTTCTTGAGATTTAAAGTTTCATTACAAATTGCTCTCTCAGTTAGTTGATTGTTAAGTCAACTAACAGATTTTGCTGATGTCAGCAATTTAATTTTTTTAAATATCAATTTTGTGCTCACTAGGTAAATTACATTGACACCTCTCCCATTTAAGAAGTTACAATCCCCTCTCCAAGGCTTAAAATAGCATTACCAATTGCTCCATCGGTTTGTATTAGTTGAAAAAAAATTAATTGGAAAAAAAATTTGTTAGTCAAATTTTTAAATTTATGTTTAAAAATCAACGTAAACTAATTTTTTGAATTTACGTTTTTTTCTCAAATTTACAAACTGAGACAATCATTTATAAATCAAAAAAGTTGTCAAACAAGTTTTTATGACAATTTTTAAAATTTTTGTAAATATAAATTGAAAACTGAAAACGAAATGGTGACCAAACAGACATCAGATGGTAAAAATATTGTAAAATTAACAAATAATTAAATAAGTTACTACCGTAAGAAATGAAAGATTCTTAGGTTATGTATAGTTTGATTTTTAGAATTTTTTTTTAAATTAAAAATTAATTTGGTTAAGAAACAAAAAATAAAAATAATTATCATTTTTATATAATTTTTATTTTTCGAGTGGTTAGAAATAATTTTTTACAAATTAAATATATTTTTTCATATTTATTTTTATTAAATTGGTTTATTATTATTTTTTTTAAATGTCAGGGAAATCCGTATTAAATTGAAACCTCTGGGGGTGTTAATGTAATTTACCCTTTAAAGTATATGTAAAGGTTAAGGATAAATATGTCATTTTAACTTAAAAGTTAACACCGTTAAATAATTTCATTGACAAGGAGAGTCAGTGTAATTTCCCAAATGCAAATATGAAAGAATTGTAATAAACATAAATTTTAGGGGTGTCAGTGTAATTTATCTATTTTTTAAATTATTTTTTTATATATATAAATGTGTAACTATTAAAAACATAAAGAATTATTAAATAATTCTTTTTGAATTTTTTGATTAAAATTTTTTATTGTCAAATGAGACGTAAAACTAAAAACTTAGTTAAATAAAATAATAAATTCAAAAGTGGCTCAACCATTAAGCCTCCGTTTAGGAAGTGGGTTGATTTTTTAGCTTTTTGGGCTATTTTAGTCTAGGCTAAAAAGTTTTTTTGGAAAAGACTTTTTGGCTTTTTAACTTTTTTAATTTTTTTTGTGAGAGAAGAGTGTAATGATTATGGGTTAGATGTGATGTTTTGTTTGTTATGAC